AGAAAAAACAATAGATCACTTACAACTTTGAGTGGTTATCACACAGTGCTGATTGTCGCAAATCAATAAGTTGTATAGAGACCTTAGAGCTACTATATGCAAATATGTTACAGTGAATAGGCTGGAATTCTATGGATGTTATCACCTCTGCATTTGAAAGGAAATGTAATCAAATTTTATTTTATCACCCCCACAAGGCAAAAGAACTTCAAATGTTTGAAGGCTCTATCTACCACAATATATCACTTAAAGGTGAAGAGATGGTTGAATTTGATAAGAATACATTAAGTCACAAAAGCAAACTGTTGCTAAGATTAATACCAGTTAGGTCCTCCATATTTGCAGGCTTTACATCAATGACGTTAAAACTCTAGTTGCTAATTTCTAAGTTCCACAGATTAATTTGCCATTAATCAGCCGATATGAAAGTCTCACCGTCACTGTCAAATCAATAAGGGCAAGCATAAGTTGTCTTTAATTATGAACAGTTTAAGAAGGTGTGTAAAGCAGATAGATCCAAACTGAGAAAGTTTAGTCATGTGATGGAACTCACATGTACACTATTGACATATATCCATATTTGCAAAATGTTTTTGAACTCACATGTACACTATTGACATATATCCATATTTGCAAAATGTTTTTGGTAGTTGTTTTATATTAAACCATAATAAAATACACACATAACTCTAAGACATGATAAACTGACATGGACACAAGTGCCCAATGTATGACTCCATATAAGATCAATCTATAACAGCTTTAGATGAATAAAAAACAATCTAGCAATAATAATATAACACTATATAGTGAAAAGCAATATGCATGAAGAAACCTGTTATTAGAAATAGAATTAATGTGATAATCACGTTTCAAGGTCATCATTAACCAAAACATGTTCAAAAAGACATGGGGCTCTTCCTTGCTCGAGCTCAGCTTTCGCATTTCTTAGCCTCTTTTGAACTTGTTCCTCAGTTTTTGTTTCCCTACATAAAGCACAACAAGACACAAATACACTACATAAAGATTTACAATATAAGAGAATGTATGTCTGCATAGTGAGTTACGCTTTTGAAAACACTCTAAAATCTCTTATATACCGAGAGCGAAGGCGCTTCTCAAGCTCATCAAATGATGGGGGCAGATAAATACAAAAATCGCTTCAAAAGAGCTTGCCCTCACTGATCTAGCACCTTGAACTTCTATGTCGATTAGAACACTTGAACGATATCTCTGATTTTGTGGGAATAATCAGCATCCGTGCAATTGTTCTCACCTTTGATTCCTCTAGCTGATCATATTGAGCATCACCGCCCTCTAAATTCATGAAGAGATCAACAACTTCATCTACAAACTGCTTATACCATCTTTTCACAGAAAACATCAGCTTTATTTCAAAATTCTGGATGTTATCTGCAGTCGCCTCTAGACTCTAGTGTTGTCTTTTATTTTATATTATTATTATTTTCCCACATTTTGCATGGGTCTAATTTCCATAAGACATAATGAAAATAGAAGGAAATCAAATCCTGTAGAACCAGGTTTCATTATGCAGAAGCTATCTGAAATAATAATAACAGCAACAAAGCCTTCATAAAAAACCTCAGGGACTATCTAGTAAACTTTTTAACTGTAAGGTAATTCAAAAGTCACCTTCCGCAATTGAATGACAATGTTCATCAAGTTAACAAGTTTCTTGTCCGTTAGGTGCCCACGGTTACTGTCAAAAAGCTCAGCAAGTGATATTTTGTTTTTTTTAGCTTGATAAAAAGCCTGCTGCCTGGAACTTAATTTACAATGAACTGTAACCTCCTTCTTCGATGTCATCTCTGTTATGACATCTTTCTTAACTCGCCGCAACATAAAAGGTAAATTGACACAGGATCAATTAGAACACTTGAAGCAAGCCCTAAATCGGAAAACAATTGACCTATTGTTGAATTAGAACAAAAATTAGATGTTTTGGAGCCAGGCACAGTAACATAATTGAATTTAAAAAAAATTAAAAATAAAAAGATAATTTTTACCTGATGAAATTGACACAGGATCAATTAGAACACTTGAAGCAAGTCCTAAATCGAAAAACAATTGACCTATTGTTGAATTAGAACAAAAATTAGAAGATGGCGAATTAGAAACAAATTCAATGAAATTATTCTTTAAAATTAAACTAAAATGAAGCAAAGATTGTAACCAATTCCCAAAAACTTTAAAGAACGGAGGATACGGTGAAGCGTATTAGAACACTTGAAGGATATCTCTGATTTTGTGGGAATAATCAGCATCCGTGCAATTGTTCTCACCTTTGATTCCTCTAGCTGATCATATTGAGCATCACCGCCCTCTAAATTCATGAAGAGATCAACAACTTCATCTACAAACTGCTTATACCATCTTTTCACAGAAAACATCAGCTTTATTTCAAAATTCTGGATGTTATCTGCAGTCGCCTCTAGACTCTAGTGTTGTCTTTTATTTTATATTATTATTATTTTCCCACATTTTGCATGGGTCTACTTTCCATAAGACATAATGAAAATAGAAGGAAATCAAATCATGTAGAACCAGGTTTCATTATGCAGAAGCTATCTGAAATAATAATAACAGCAACAAAGCCTTCATAAAAAACCTCAGGAACTATCTAGTAAACTTTTTAACTGTAAGGTAATTCAAAAGTCACCTTCCGCAATTGAATGACAATGTTCATCAAGTTAACAAGTTTCTTGTCCGTTAGGTGCCCACGGTTACTGTCAAAAAGCTCAGCAAGTGATATTTTGTTTTTTATAGCTTGATAAAAAGCCTGCTGCCTAGAACTTAATTTACAATGAACTGTAACCTCCTTCTTCGATGTCATCTCTGTTATGACATCTTTCTTAACTCGCCGCAACATAAAAGGTAAATTGACACAGGATCAATTAGAACACTTGAAGCAAGCCCTAAATCAGAAAACAATTGACCTATTGTTGAATTAGAACAAAAATTAGATGTTTTGGAGCCAGGCACAGTAACATAATTGAATTTAAAAAAAAATTAAAAATAAAAAGAGAATTTTTACCTGATGAAATTGACACAGGATCAATTAGAACACTTGAAGCAAGTCCTAAATCGGAAAACAATTGACCTATTGTTGAATTAGAACAAAAATTAGAAGATGGCGAATTAGAAACAAATTCAATGAAATTATTCTTTAAAATTAAACCAAAATGAAGCAAAGATTGTAACCAATTCCCAAAAACTTCGAAGAACGGAGGATACGGTGAAGCGTATTAGAACACTTGAAGGATATCTCTGATTTTGTGGGAATAATCAGCATCCGTGCAATTGTTCTCACCTTTGATTCCTCTAGCTGATCATATTGAGCATCACCGCCCTCTAAATTCATGAAGAGATCAACAACTTCATCTACAAACTGCTTATACGGTGAAGCGTTGATGATGACGGAGGGAAAGCGTTGATGATGACTGAGAAGAACTGAGAAATCATCTTTCAAAGCTGGTGGAGGTAACGGAAGATTGGAGGAGACGACATAACCGATGAATTGAAAGGATGAGGGCGTAACCGATGAATTCAAAGGAGGAGGAATAGAGGCGTAACCGATGAAAGGCTAAATTGGTTTATGAAATCATGATATGTTTGGTAATTAAATTTGGTGGAAGGTTATTTTGGGGAGGGAAAAGTTTTTCATGAACTCCCTCTTTTAAAGGGTAAATAGATAATATGTGTGTGTGTGTGTATACTCTCTCTCTTAGTATATATGTATATATAAGTATACTCTCTCTTATATATGTATAGTCTCTCTTATATAAGTATATATAAGTATACACTCTCTTATATATGTATAATATATGTGTGTATATATATACTCTCTCTCTTAGTATATATGTATATATAAGTATACTCTCTCTTATATAAGTATATATATGTATAAGTATATATAAGTATACTTTCTCTTATATAAGTATATATAAGAATACTCTCTCTTATATATGTATAATGTATGTATGTATGTATATATATACTCTCTCTCTTAGTAGGCAATGGCTACTTATGCGATTTTCTCTCTCTCAAGTTATAGATTATAAATTTATAACTTATAAATATATACAATATATTTACATATAATATATGTATATATAATATATATAATATATAGTTACATAATAATTTATAAGTATATACTAATACATAATTATATAAAATATAATAAATTTAAACTAATTTTTAGCATTTTTTATCAAAAAAAAAGAAAAGAAAAAATTAAAAAAAATCCGGGCCGACCCGGAGCCCGGCCCGGTTGGGCCCGGGCCGGCCCGGGCCGGATCGACCCGGATGGACAAGCCTAACGATACCCCTTAAAAACTTCTAGCAGTTTCAACGTTATCTAGTCTGATTCAGTGTTTAACCTTTAGCATTGAGGCAAGGGCTAATAAAATGTTGATAAGTAATTTATAGATCCTCATCTCGCATGTATTCGTAGTGCATATATTTCTACAATTATGGAAATCATAGCTTGAACTAACTCTTGAAAGGAATCTATGAAAATCGTCGATCCTTCAAACACTTCAAATCCTAACCACGTTTGCCTAAATGTCAAAGAACTATAGAAAAAACAACTCTTAAAATGTTGCAAATGCATCACAAAGATATTCAAAATTTCAAAAGGAGTCAAGACAGTAAATTCTCAAGATATATAGTGATTCCTATTTTCTTCATTCTTTTAGGCTCTGTTTGGTTTGATAGAAAGGAGGAGAAAGGAAAGTAAAATAGAAGAAAAAGTAAGTTTCTACTGCTTGGTTTGAAAGAAAACAAAAAAGAAAAAGAAAATCATTTTCACCGCAGAAAAACCCATACGTATTTTTTCTTTTCTCTTTTCTCTTCGCTGCCCAGGTGAAAACGAGGGAGAGAGACGGAATCGATCGCTCACGCCTCCAATTTTCCCCGATCTCTCACCTCTCTCTCTTGAAAATTCC